ACATAATATGTTATTACTACCCTTCTTCAATCTTATATGCTGAGCGCCTAGCTAGAAGGTAGAAGGTCCCATTGTTATAAGTCTTTGGTATAACTCGGCCGGGGTTCGAACCCACGACCTCCAAGTTGAACCACTTAAAGAGAAAATCTCGAATATCATCCCTGATAGTGTATTACATATACAGGTGGGATATATACAATATCTAAAGATTGTCGCTATAATGTTACCCTCTGTAGGTCTCCCATTTTATCCAAGAAAGTGTCTATTTCTGCTGGTGCACCCCACTTCGAAAGACACTTCGCCGCCAGTGCGTCATCATCATCATCATCATCACCACCACCATAAGTATCAGTATATTCCTCAAAACTAGTTGAATGAACGGAAAATAAGAGGTTGGAAACATGTGACAAGTTCTAAAATAATATACCAAAATTATTTTCAATTCATTTACAGGTTCTGTGGATCATCTCTCGTCGTAATGTAAACTGGACCCAACATCAGCGATGTCGAAGAAGCCGTAAGTATTTTTACAGACCTGAATGTCTTAGGTGAGAGTCATGGAAAATATAATATGGCATACAAATATTGAACCTTTATGGAAGGAAGGAATAACAATTACAGCTCGAGCCCAAGAGACCGATCGATCTATTTGGGACGTTCTTCTACCATTTTGTTTAGTATTAACTACACCAACGACCCATGAGACTGAAAATGTTCAATTTTCATTGCATTTTCTTGTTGTTGTTTTTTTCTTTCTTTTCTATCGCGATAACACTTTCTGTCTTTTCCTGTATTTTCTTGTTCCATTTCTCTATTTCCTTTTTCTCCTGTTTGTATTGTGCACGGCTTTTCGATACTCTCTTGACCTCAGATCCTCTTCAAATTTCACTGGCTTCATCAGGGGCGTAAATCCGTACCGAGGAGTGGCGGGGGGATGATCGGCGATAGCCCTCACATACTAGCACGAGCACACGCCCACACTAATTTACGCAAGCGCGCGCGATCGCGCACGCACAAACACACAACACACACACACACACACACACAAACGAACAAACAACAAACACACACATACCTAAACACATGTACATAAATTTATATATGCATACATACATGCACGCACATGCCAAATTTGACAACCATAAAGTAAAAGAATTGGACATATTTCGAAATACTGACAGCTGCAAACTGTAGTGTTTTATTATGATGAACTCCAAAATAAGACGACACACTTTCAAGCAGTAACATAAAGATTGAGTATTTCATCGGGAAGATGCGAACTCTTTATTTTTGAGTCCCATCACTTAAAAAATGATGTATAATGGTACTACCACGGGAACATCAACAAAAATGTTTCATTGGGGAGAAAGCGCATTGTAAGTCATATTCTTTGTTTTCTCTTAAAGGAGAATTAACTTCAAAAAACATTTATCTATGACCAAATAGACAATTCTGAGTTCTTTCTGGAAAGCCTAGGACATTGAATGTTTTATAAGAGCCAAACGTTAAAACCAGTCCGAAGTAGTACAGACCTACATTGATCTAGCTGTTTACTGGGGGCCGCCATTGTACCATAATACCATTTCATTATGGACTGACAATAATGCACTGCAAATTGGCCGCAGGCGACAATGTAGGAATGGTTACATAACAGTAGAAACTAATTAATATAATCAGGTACGGGGTTGTAATGAGTGAGCACACCTGCATTGATATGGAATGAATGTGACAGGTGAGCTTGGCTGGATTGAGGATAGAATGGATGGCAACCTTAATAACACAACTAGACAAAAAATACTGAACTAAACTAAATACCAGACTGAAAAGGAGCTTAGAAAACCAAAAAAAATAGAACAACTGGAAACAAAATGTCAAAGTATAAAACTGAACTTTAAAAAGAAAAGGGAATGTCCAATTAACAGTCCTACAATATATATTTGCGTATCACCTGTGTCGTGTGCGTGGCCAATTTGCAGTGATTTTTTTAAGTACATGTTGAAAAGGTATTATGTTATAATGGCAACCCCCATTAAACGGCTAGATCCATGTAAATCTGTACTTCTTGGGACTGGTTTTACCCTTTGGCTCTTATAAAACATTTTATGTCCTAGCTAGACTTTCCAGAAAGGGCTCAAAATTGTCTATTTGGTCAAAGATAAATGTTTTTTTGAAGTTAATACTCCTTTAAAACCAAAAAATAATCTGGCACAGGAGGACGAGTACCATGGCACTAGGTTTAAATCCATGGGTACATCAAAGGGGAAGTCCACCCCCAAAATAAGTTTGTTTCGATAGAGGCAGAAAAATAAGAAAATCAGGTGAGTGAAAGTTTGAGCAAATTCTGAATGAAAATAAGAAAGTTATGAATTTTTGAAGTTGTGATCAATCAAATACAAATTGGCAACTCTGTGACTTATCACGCTAGCTCTCCTTCATTTGCTTTGTGCATAATATTCCATAAAATCATGTTTTCTTCGTTATTGATGACGGAATATATTTGTTCCTTGCAGGGGTAGTATAAAAACATATTTGCAATTATTATATTTAGGGTGCATGTATGGTTGAAATTTTTCTTGAGGGAAAATGAAAATTTCTGATTTTGTTAGAACTGAGCAGATGGAAGTTGTGTTTACATGATACGTCATAGAGTTGCCAATTTGTGTTTGATTGATCAAAACTTTCACTGACTTGTTTCCCCCATTTTTCTACTCCTATTAAAACTAACTTAATTTTAGGATGGACTTCCCCTTTAAGGGTTAAATGACGTATTGATTGACTTAGAGGTTAGAAATTACCAAAAATGTTCCGTCTGATACCTGACCTGAATACAAATTCCTTTGCAACATGTTCGATGTCAATTTGGTCGAGGATCTCACTGTGGACGTTGCATACAGCCGTGGCGTTGAGTCGTTTTTGGGACATTGTGCTCCTCAACCATGTTTTTAATCGACGCATGGTGGAGAAACTCCTCTCACACTCACTTGACGATACGGGGCATACGAGGAGGAGCTGCGTGATAGCCTTCACCTGAGGGAATAGAGCGCGGACCTCTGGTGTCATCTGTCGGTACGCGTCCACTGATTCATAAAGAGATGACGCGCCTGTGGTGTGACGAAACATTAGAAGTTGTACTGCCAGGATGTCTGTTTTCAGTTCCGGATATCTAATACATGCAAAAACATGAATACAAAAGTATTTTTGTACTCAGATTCGGGAGTATTTATAAGTCTTATACGACTATAAAGGAAATGAATGACTGAGACAAAAAGAGCAAAGAAGGAAGAAAGAAATAACTAACCACTCAAAGAAAAACAAAAATACACAACTTTGTACGAGTGGTCAAAGTACGGGGCTAGGCAAAACAAGTGTGAAACGTTTTCACACTTGTTTTGCTTAGCCCCGTACTTTGCTTAGCCCCGTACTTTCCTTAGCCCGGACTAACTTTTTCTGGCTTTTCACACACATTGTTTTAGACCCGTCTAAGCGCCAATCCAGGGATAAGAAACTTCACGCTGTTCAGACTGGAATTCGTTAGCCCCGGATATAGCTGTATTGCGTGAATAAACATTAGGGCATTTTCTGCAGCTGCTTCGCCTCTGGCCAGCTCCAATATACCCTCCATTGCGTAGTATAGTACCGGACTATTTTACGTTTCTGTTCAGATTCTTTTGCTTGGCACAGGAATTGTGGAGTTAGTCTTGCTTTTTGCAGGACCAACTAACATCTTTAGGTGGGGCTAGCCTACTTTGGTAAATTCATGTCTGAACAGAAAATGGTCTAAGCTTAGCCCAGAACTATAGGTGGGGCTAAAACCCACCTTTAGTTCGGGGCTAAGCAAAATTTTGCCAGCGTGAAAAACATAATATTAAAACTACTCAAAGTAACATATCTAGACTAGTGAAATATATAAACAACAAATTCATTCATTCATACACACTTAAAATAGTTGGGCAAAAAAATGCCCAACTTTTAACCAACACTGAGCAACATACGGTCCACACAACTATTGGTTAAAATCTGCCCAACTGATGTTGGGTAATCAGTTTGCTATGTGGTTGGGCAAATTGAATTGCCCATCAGTTGGTGACCCATCATATTTTACCCAACTCTACAATTGCCTAACAGTTGGTTATATTTTCAGTTGGGTAATTTCTTGCCCAACCAATTTTACCCAGTTAGATATTGCCCAACCTTCTATTTGCCCAACTTTTGAGTAAGTTTAATGTTGGTTAATTAAATGCCCAACCAGTTTTTACCCAACTCCCAGTCTGCCCAACTATCAAAACACCCATCTATTGGGTAATAATTGCTCAACAATTTCTCTGCAACATCCATTTGCCCAACTCTCAAAACACCCATCTATTGAGTAATAATTGCTCAACAATTTCTCCACAATATCCATTTGCCCAACTATCAAAACACCCATCTATTGGGTAATAATTGCTCAACTATTTCTCCACAATATCCATTTGCCCAACTATCAAAACACCCATCTATTGGGTAATAATTGCTCAACTATTTCTCCACAATATCCATTTGCCCAACTCCCAAAACACCCATCTATTGGGTAATAATTGCTCAACAATTTCTTCGCAATATCCAGTTGCCCAACTCTCAAAACACCCATCTATTGGGTAATAATTGCTCAACAATTTCTCCGCAATATCCATTTGCCCAACTCTCAAAACACCCATCTATTGGGTAATAATTGCTCAACAATTTCTCCGCAATATCCATTTGCCCAACTCTCAAAACACCCATCTATTGGGTAATAATTGCTCAACTATTTCTCCACAATATCCATTTGCCCAACTCTCAAAACACCCATCTATTGGGTAATAATTGCTCAACTATTTCTCCACAATATCCATTTGCCCAACTATCAAAACACCCATCTATTGGGTAATAATTGCTCAACTATTTCTCCACAATATCCATTTGCCCAACTATCAAAACAACCATCTATTGGGTAATAATTGCTCAACTATTTCTCCACAATATCCATTTGCCCAACTCTTTAATTCGTCTGTTGGATAATCATTGCTCAACATTTTTTCCATAACATCTATTGGCTCAACTCTTTTTCTCATCTAAAGGGTAATAATTGCTTAACTGAAACACAAATAACATACACAGTAAACACATGTTGTTGTTTTCATCAGAAACGTAAAAACAAAACTTGTTAACATCAACTACAACATTACAATTTTTGGTGAAAAAAATACAACCTTTTAAAAAAAGTAAATGCAAATATAGCCCCTGTTTGGTGCAGCATGACAACTTTGATGTACACTGTATGTATTCCATGTACTCTGATTTCATACATGAATATGTGCATCATATATATTTTGTGGGTGTGGCATAGTGTTCATTTATCCTGACACACCAATACTCTGCCTTAGAGTGTTACACATGAACACATTTTTTTGAAGTAAAAAAAAAGAGGAAATAAATTCAAATCCCTCTAGATTATTTGACATGTGCAGAAGTACCACATGAAAGTTTGGCTATCTGTGATGGTGAACAGGTACTGATCAAATAACAAGGATACACACTGCCTACTATAACTTTTTGATTAGATTAAAGACAACAAAAATCAATTGACCCTACCTGCTATACTCAGTTTGATTGATTTTATTGATATTATCAATAATATCAATACAATTTTGCAAAATGTAGATAAAAATGTTGACTTCTCTACTTCTGCTTTGCGCGATGTAAATTAATGCATGCAGTCCATTCAGCAGAGAGTTCAGCGTAGGGTCAATGGACGATACACATTACATGAAAATTAATGGTATATGTAATTTACAATCATATACCCCACTTGCTTTTTTAAACGCAGAAAATATCATAGCTCATGTTTTATGAAGAAATATATCATTTTGATGTACGAGTTATGAAACAGTACTCTTGGGATTAAGACCAAACACGATAAGCATTTGTATACGCCAGTGCAAAAGATTTATAGCCAATAATATGTTTTGTATTTATACTTGGCATATATTCATTTGTTTTCTTAAACTTTCAAGGTGGGGATGTTAAGCAATGATTGGGATAAAACAATTAGGCCTTTATCATTTTTAAAATGTACACAAAGACTTCTGCTGTGTATAAATTCACTCTTTTTTTTAATATTATTCAGCGATCCTCACCCCACCCTCAAATCTTCAGTCTTACACAAACATGTCTAAATTATGTAAAATAATGTGCTGAATCCAACTCATAACAGTTTGTCTTTAAGGTTATTTTGTCCAAAATAATACTTTTTTCCAGTTTTTTTTCTCCCAAAATAAACTGGTTCAAGTAGCCAAAATGTGCTAAACGATGATGTGTCAGTTTCATCTGTAGGAAATATATCACCAGTAATCATCCTTGGCGTGAACACATCATGATGGCTTATGGCATGTTCATGAAGGCTCGGACCTCCCGCAGCTTTGGTGTAAGATGCTCCCCATCGGTAAACTGGAACACCACAATCTGGAGAAATTTCCAAACAGAACAGCTTTGCGGCTGATATTCGATATCCATCACATAAAGTGCCTTAAAGCACAAGTCGACTGCTTTAAGCAGTGTTGCGGCAGGAAGTATCCTCCTCTCTACTACGACGTACGCCTGTATTGGTGTGAGAATGTTCCCACGCACAACAACAAATGGCTGTGACCTGACTGCTTCATCAATGTTATCAACATAAGTCTGGATGTCGAGAACCTCCTGTAGTCCAAAGAGAAATCAAGAAGAAATCATTTGTAATTATATGGATTGATATATATATATTTGATGCTTGTCGAATGCTTCTGCTTATGAATCCACAATCACCTACAGGACACCCAAATTTGTTTATGCATGTTCATCCCTGTCCCATCAAAACATTACTGGGTATTCTTAAATATCCCTGCGGCAAAGGTCAACTGTACCCAAACTGGTCACGTTCAGAGCATTACATCAACTAAGCTGGAAGGCATATACAGCCTGTTAATATAAGCATGCATTTTTCACATGTCATTTGCAGGTTAAAGGACTTGCTTGCATTCATGAGTGAAATGCGATGTGATGACAAATCTGAGGCCATTTGTAGTTGTACCACAGATAATGACGAACTGACTTATTAAGATTAAAGCGCCTAGTGTTGCCCCTGCAGGGCCTCCTTGGGGACCAGCGTGCCCATTACTAGGAACTTGAAAATGGTTGCTTTTCAAGTTTTACACAAATAAAATGTTATGGCAATGCCTTATCTGGTAAGAACATAGGTATTGCATTTCAACCTCAATTTCATCAGTTGTCCTAGGTTTGAAACTCTTAACAAATTAACTATTGAATTTGTTTGTAATGAAATATGATTACTATGGCAAGATTTTAAACGCAAACCAAAATATATGCCTTACATGTCATTACTTTACCACCTCCCCAGCACATATACTTACTGGTTGAACGTCAATGAAGGACGACAATGTTTCTGCAGTGGTGTACGTTCCTCTCTTGGAATCTTTCCTTCCTCGGAACAAGACTGGGAGCATGTAGAATCCAAGATTGCTCTTTTCCTCTAAAAAGAGGGAAACAATGAAAGAGTTAAGTAATTAAGTCCCAATTACATATGAAGAAAAGGTGCAACAGCAAACAGGTCAATTATGGAACATCTTACAAAATGTACAGTTATATACAGCAAATTAAAAATAACGGTCGAATACAACAATTATTTTCTACAAATATGGGTAAAATCACTCAACGTAAATGTCAGTCAGTAATTTGGAGCTCAGCTTTCTGAGTAAAGAAAATCAAAATTGCACAAACTTCAGCATAGCCTTCCCAATGAGCTTTAAACCACCATCCCCACCCCAAAAAGCAAACAAACAAAACAAGCAAGTAAAAGTATGCTAAACCTTTGTCATGGAATCATGTTTTTATCATATGTTGTACATGTATTATATGTTTCAGAGCACTTTTATTTATTTCAGTTCAATTCCTTACAGGGGGGATATTAGACTCAATGTTTGGTCCTGGCCACAAAAATAAACATCATATAGTGTAATTGAAATAAATTCTTTTGACTTTCTCTCAAGTCATTTTCACTAATACTGTCAAATGTGTGTTCTGACACCACATACCAAGACTGAGTTTCCCAGGGTCATGAATGTTTTCGAATTCGGCTCTTGCACTTCTCCAGTTGCCAGTTTTCTCGGTGAAGTCCACTACTTTGTTACAGAATGTGGGCCACTTCTGGTACAGTGCGTTTGCTTTCTCTGGGAACAATTCTGCAAAATCTCCTTCAATCTGTAATTGTTAGGATAGTTATAGAAGCCAGATGAAAGGTAGGATATCTTTCATTTGCATCTTCTCTTTACCATTTTGCAAGGATTTGAATGGTACACACTAACAATTATCGGTTCAATAGGGATGCACGATTTCTGTAGGACCGTGTATCTCAGATTGTTAAACGATCCCTTTAAGGAGACTGCTAAAGTAAACCTGCCCATGCAACCAAAAAACAAAAAAGTTACTTCTCAAAACATGCGACTCTAGTTTAATTTAATGTCCTTTCTTGTCACATGCAGAAGAAAAATCAAGGTCCACATACCATTCCAGCATCGAGAAGTCTGGGATATGTGGTAAGAATGTTCTTCACACAACAGTCACTTCTCTTGATCCAGTCATGTCTTTTTGTTGCTGTTTGTTTCATGTAGTCCTTCACCATGTCCTCTGGCTCCTTGTTGTTACGCAGCCATTCTTCCATTGTCGTGATGTTATCATCGTTCACAGACTCAAGATCGGTATCTCCTGGATATAATGCAACAGAACAATCAACAATTAGCATGTATCAACAAGTTTTTGATGATTGTATTGGAAGGGGGGTTTTAGTTGGCATTGCTCATGCCCCACCAGTTTGTTATGGCACAGCATGACTTCATCAGACGGATCTGAATAACTCAAAACTTTAACTATATGAAAAAGTAGCCAGAATACCTTGCTTTTGAGACTCTGCCTCGTCTTCAGCTACTGGTACCCTCAGGGACTTCTCCTTTTTTCTGACATACCTCAGATGCTCCTCCAGGTAGCCTGTTGCTGGCCGTCCCTTGGCCCCCACGCAGTACCAGGCCTCCTGCTCAAATAAATTAAAATTCCTTCATAATTCAACTTCAAAAACAGTAATGCTCAACAACATTTGTTAAACATTAATAATAATCAAATAAAAGCACAATAAAATTCCAGTGTAAACTGTACATTTACATATTTTGTTACATATGTCAGTGTTTGCAATAACAAGGTTTGTCCTCTTAAGTACCTATTTCTAACTGCACACTGTTATATTCCAGCAATGTCATCAAGTCATTGCAAAAACAAAGTGAATGATGGATAATTCTGTGAATATCCATTACTCAATGGCATGCAGACAAAAGTCTAAATATTAAGAGATGTGTCATTACTGGATAATATAACTTATAAACAAGTGGTAAAAATAAACAAAAATATTGCACGATTTAGTGATTGATGCCATATTAGCTTTTCATTATTTGTAAGCTTTTCAGGCCTGTCTACTGTCAAATTTACTATTGCCAGAGATGCTCTTACAATGCTTGTGATAATGTGATACAACATGCAATTGATTGAGCATCTCCAATATAATAAATACAAGAATAACAAAATTGAGGAAGCTTCATAGCAAGTTACACAAAATAATATGATCCAGTATTCCAAAAGTTATTGCATAAACACATAATTTATTTGATTTAGACCTTAAAGTAGCTTATTGCTTCTGGCTCAAACAGAAACTTCTCATAAAATTTCACTTTCTTGTAAATGGGGTCTGTGGGGTAGGGACAGATGGAGGTATGGATGGACAACCTAAGAATTAAGGCACCTCCAAGTAATAAATGCCCGCTGTGGTAAGAATCAATCCATAAATCAGTCCAGAAAAAAGTGGTGATCTGAGCCATACCTGAGGTCACATTAAGGAAAGCAATTCATGGACAGGACTTACATAGCCAAGTGGAGATTCTGGATCTTTTAAGAAAGGAAAGCTTGTCACAATGGCATGGGCCATTGATGCCTTCACAAATGAGCTTGGCTTGGTACCATACTCCCGTATCAGGTACTGAGTCAACATATCCACAACAGTATGCCGGTCCCTTTTGCTGCAGAGATTTGTAGCATTGATGTTCCTTAATGCTGCTCTTCCCATGGTGGTCTCTCTCAATATACAAGCAATGTTCTGCAACAGATAAAGGATTTTTTGTTTAAAGATCAGTAAATTCAGAATAAACAAGTGAAATGTGACAGCATGCAGTCGGTGGGTATATCTCTGGCTGTCCGACCTCCTACAATAAGCCCATCATAAATCACTCACTGGGCATTCCTTGCAAACTTTGTTCTGATAAAAAATTTCAATGAAACCTTGAAACTGACCTTAGACTAGCTTAAAACCCATAACCCCAACCAAACATTTTCCATAACATTCCTTTATTCATTCATACCAAAATGTACCTACCAAATCATATCACTAGCCATTCTGCAGATGTAGAAATAAAATGGTATTTTTAGTAAAAACTTGAATAACCTTTGAACTGACCTTTCACCTTTGAGCCCTGCTGCTTGTCAGAAATACTGACAGACAGATAACTCCAAGACATAATGCCTCTGGCACCCTTATGTGTTGGAGGCATAAAAACTGATGAATGATGGTGACTCGACATGCCCACGCTTCAATTGTATCAGCCCACTATATACATAAACTTACGAAATGCACTTTCTTGACCCGTTTCAGGGGAGGATGTTGATCAGGACTCTTGGATTCTGGGGAGTCGTAAAGTGGCGTATCCAAACTGGGCTGGGAAGGGCTTTGTCTGGGACTCCACTCACTTCCTGTTACACAAGAGAGATCTGAGCAGTCATCTAAGGAGAACACTGATGGGCTTCTTGTCGACGTTGATGCTTGTTCCATGCTTTGTTGATTTGCAGCATGATACTACAATAAATAAATGAAAAATAATTGAACTTTCAATGTACATGTAAATGACTGATTATTCTTTACATTATTAATGACACAAACAGCCCCAGGTTAGACTTTAGTATCAAGTTTATTCCTTGAAGGGGAAAATCATTCTCACTGTTTCTGTACCCTTGTCCTATTTAAAGCAAACCCATAATTGAAAAGTGGTCACTCATGAGCCGAAGCTTCTTCAGTACATCTATAATATAATAATATCCAGTTAGGAACTTTCACTTTAGGCAGGAACATGCATTGGTAAAAAATAGCACATTTCCGGGGCCTCAATGAAGTACATATGCTAGAAAAACTTGGCATGAGTCATGGTACATTTAAGAAATTACAACATAATATGAATGAATGCAAATATAACAGACACATTTTCAGATACAGAAACAATGAAGTTAATAACGAGTTAAAAAATTCAAACCAGATATTTACTGTAAAAATTGTCATTGGAATAATCAAATTTGTTAGCAAGTCAGTACAGATCGATCAAGGTTAGCTTCTTAGCTATTTTTTCAATCAAAATGTGTAGAATGATACACTAAGAACTGATTCATAGATATAATTGTAATTGGAATAACAGTTTCTTTCTTTTGCTTTGTTTTGGTTCTGTTCTCTAAGACAAAATTTGCAAGTGCACCTGTAATGTCTAGTTGTAAAAATATATCACTTGCTTGCAACGGGTTGCCTACACGTACCTTCTTGTTCCTAGATGAATGAATGGTGCACCACAATATACAAGCAGCGCCCTCTTCCACTATAGGACTGGACAGCATTGACTGGCCTGTGATCAAACAGGTCACACCATTCAACAGCAGCTTGTGATTCCTCTCTGCCCACCTGTACTGCAAATGCTTCAACATGTCTGTTGAAGTACAAGGTCTGATACAGCCGAAGGAGCAGATACAACTTTTCTTGCACCACTACAATATGCTGAACACGTCCAAACGTGGGTCCATCATCATCAGTCCAATATAGAAGTACATCAACACCTGCCCGGAACTCATATCCATGAATGTCCACTTTCCCAGCAACTGTAACTTCGGTTCCCCTTCCACAGTTAATTTTTTTGCAAAGTGCCTCATCATCAAGTAGATCACCAAGCATTGCTGCAGCTTGCTGTGACACATTGATATCTTGGCTATCCAGTGACTGATTTGATACTGACCTGTAGCACCGTGCCATTTGGTATCTGTTAGCCAATGTTTTGACAATGTTTTGGTAGTTGCAAGATACACTGGCAATCTGCTTGAAAGGTCTGTGCATTGCTTCAAAACGCAATGCTGAATACTGGGTCAGTGGCCCAAGGTGTTTCAGTGCACGTGGGTAATGCACAAGAAAGTGCTGCTTCGGAGTTAGACTAGCTTCAGGGAAGAGCTGCATGAAGAGCCTGTGGTGATCATCAATCATTGCCTTCAGGACATAGATGGCAGACTTACTGATACTGGGACTCATAATGATTTTGAAGATGTCAATGATTGACAGTAAGAGTTCCCACTCATCACACATCTCATCAATCTTGTCTCCTAACATGAGAGGGATGTTGTATGCAAGGCACGTCATCTGTGCTGATGTCTGTCCACTGGCAGAATATGGATTCTTCAGTGATGCCTGCCTGATTGGGCTTGGTCTGTTTTTGCGGTCCACAAAGCCAAAATTGAATGAGGATATTCTACTGTTCACCTCATCCAGTGTTATGAAACCCTTCTGAACAAGTTTACTCAAAACAAGGTGCATTTCCAGGGGCAAGACTCCCTCTGTAAAATCATGCATTACATCTGGACATAAGTTTTGGGTGGAATGGTAGTAAGGCAATTCATTCAAAACTGTTGCATGCTTCAAGCCAGATTCTGACAAGGGCTTTTGAAGATCTGTATCATAGTTTATTTCATCACGGAGATATTGGGCATCCTCTTTTGGCTGTTTCTGAAGCAACGAGCGATGGCCTCTACAGAATCTACAGTAATAGTTGGCACGGAAACAGGTTGTACATCCCAGCATGGCATGAATGCCAAGATTGTCCCCTACAACTTGGAATAAGTAGGGTTTGACCCTACCCTCAAACTCTTTGCACTTGATAGTGAGTCCATCAGTCCACATGTGCTGCAGATCATCCTTGATTACCTTCAAAACTTCTGAGATGCCATATTTACTCAAAAGCGGAGATGTGATCATAGCTGTGAGCATGATATTTTCTAGCCTAGCCTGGTATTTCCTGGGAAGGGATAACACACTTGTATAAAAGGCACTTACCTTGTGTTTGCCGCGTTTTGACCCAAGCGGATTGGCTGTCTCAAACTCATCATTGTACAACAACAGAGGCACTAAGAATTCACAGTCTTGTCTAGCAGTAGCTTCCTGCCTTTTATAATAGTGACCATCTTTGAATGAATACAAAACATCATTATCTTTTGATCCTTTTTGAGACAGTATGGCGTTCATTACTCCTGGTCGCTCTAAGTATTGTTTAATAGTGTCAGCTAGTGGTATATATTGAAAGGTTTCTTTTTGTGTGCTTTGCAGTGGATCACCTGTCTTTTGATCAATTTTTGGTTTTAAGCAAGTTCCCAACAACACCTCACAAGGCTGAATGAAATCACCTTTCTCAGAGAAATATTTTTTCTGTTGAGTATCTGACATGAGCTCTGAAAATGGATTCTTTGAATTCTCGAATACATCTTGTATATCAGATCTCAGCTCACTGTTAGCTGCATATTGTGGCTCACTTAAGATATCCATCACATCCTGTTGCACAGTTTGTAACACAGAAATAACCAAATCTTGTGCGGTTTGAATGACCTTGTTGGTGTGTGAAGCAGGCACATTAGTCCTTGCCCTGAGTTCTGCTACAAACTTTGCTGCAATATCAGGTAGTCTCTCTGTTTGCGTTTCAAAAGAGACATCTTCCTGCTCACTGCTTTCTCCAACAAACAATGCCTTTTCCTGGTGCAGTTGTTCCAAATTCCCTTCAGTGTTGTTATTCTTTCCTAGAACAGATCCTTCATAACAGGTTTCACTTTGGTGATCTGGAACTGCTTTTGTAGTTGTGCTTGACGTCTTTATCCGTGCAGCGTGCTTTGAAATGAGATGTTTTCTATATCCCGATAATGTACGAAATGTTAGTCTACATGCCCCTTGCATGCATGTTATACTTACATTTTTCCCCCTGGTTGTTGTATGTGTGTATTTTAAATGATGGAATAGGCAAGAAATATCCCCCCTAATTAAATCAAGACACTGAAAGCATCTGTAACTATCCATAGTGAGATATTGTGCCACATCTAGGGCCTACCTCTGCACGCCACCCAGCGAGAAACTTCAATCGAGGTCCAATCTTGGGTATGAAGGATGTGATTATACTTTCACTTAGAAGGGGAAGGGTTTCCACATCAACTTCATTTTCTGGAGAAGAAGAGGGAGAGATTGATAAATAAGGCTTAGTGCAGCATAAACTGATTGTTTTCATATAATACCACAAACACACGTATGGTTGCGCAAATTAAACAAAAGTATATGTTTTAGATAATGATAAGCTGTAAACATTTGCTCATGTTCCAGCTAAAATATCTTCCATGTTGAATAAATCGCATAATCAATGTTTTTTGTTATTCCACAAGAGTCTATGAAAATCTGAATTTTCAAATGCGATTTTCTCGAAAATTTGGTCTTCGTATAGAAAACTTACTTTTAGATCATACTAGCGAATTGTATCAACTAATTGCTATTTATTTTCAGGTGATGTTACTAACATCCACACAATCAAATTAAGAATGGAAACCTTTTCTAAAGTCATACTAGTAATCACCTTAGTTTAGTCAAATTGTGCCTAATTTTTAACAATGTAGGGGCCTATTTAAAGTATAAAGATTAGTTGCATCAGCAATGAATTTGATTTCAAAGAAAGTCATTCAACTTACCAAATGAATCAGAATGATTTGAGAGTTAGCATAGCGGTCAATATATGCTGATTGGTTAATTAACATTACTAATTCATTGATAATCATATGTGTCTTCTCCATGTGCACTGTCATGCCTATTACTTCAACTTTAAACTGCCATACCGGTAATTGTTTTGTTCAACCTTTTGCGGCTGCCATGATATTGTCTGCATTAGTAGCCATGTTTCTCAGCTTTAGTATGACAAATAACCTAGCTTTATCTGACCAGGGTTTCTCAAAAAGTCTAGCACTCAAGCCTTTCACAGGCCACTTACAGTACCATACAACCATATATAAATTATAGTGTGTTACCTTGAATAGAGGCAACTGACAATTGTTTATCCTAGAAAAGATAATTTGTGGTGTTTAATAATTCTTTTGTACAGCTTATTGTTCAGTGGTGTGAAACATTAAAAAAAATGCATGTGCTGGAACATTTCACTGATATGAAGCAAAATAGGACAGTTAATCCTGTACTAACGAATGTCCTTCCTCCATGTGCACCTCCATCCCAAAATCGAATCAGTTCGTTGGCTTTGCAACTTGCAAGATACATGTACATGTCCCAAGTTTGGATGGTAATCCGTCCATCGGTTCTAATGATTTCATTGAAATCTGGACATGTAGTAAAATAGTGTACAATTTTGTGGGCATAATTTGGTGGCTTAAGCATCTGTAATTTTTCCATATTTAAAAATTATTTTCAGAAAAAGATTTTTTTAAATGAGAAAAAATGTACCCATGTTAAAAATTGTGCCCATTCGTGTACTACAGCGAGGTCACTGCAATTTCGAAAACCACCACAGCCTCTTGGTTTTGAATTAGGCTATTAATATGGGCTAAAATGTGGGTCAACTGCCTTTTAGTTATGACAAGGAATATCGCAATAGCACATAATTAATAGCCCCATTTAAAACCAAGAGGATGTAGAGTCTATGCTCTGTAAAACAAAGTTAGGCAGATGTTACTGGGCAAATCAAAGTTTGGCGCGTTTTTGTCAAATAATTTCTCCCAACCATTTACTGTATGAAGTTACCTAATAAAAGGTCAGAAATAAGTTGGGTAGGTGTTACTTGGTAAAACTGATGTTGGGCAAATTTTGTCCAACAATTGGGTTATTTTCTACCAACCATGTAGTTACCGATGAAATAATTGGGTAATATTTTTGGGCAAATTAAAGTTGGTCATTTTTGTCCAATAATTGGGTTATTTTCTACCAACCATGTTACTGATGAAATAATTTGCCCAACTAGTGTCGAATATACTACACATTATGGTGAGAATTGGGTGAATTTCCTATTGGGGTAAATTTTGTTGGTTAAAAGTTGGGTATTTTCTTTTCATCCAACACTGGGTTATGGGTAAATCATGCAAAATCTTTAATTTACCCAATAGTTAGTCGGACACATAAGTGCCCTCATGTTGGGTAAAAATTGGGCACTTGCCCAACATTTTTTTAGAGTGTTTGAATTTCAAAGTCCTGTAGAAAATGAAAGGGCAAAATCCTTAACATGGCAATGGGCAAGACAAATTGTCTCACTTTTTGAAATCTAGACTTCTAGATCTACAGGAAAATGAAAGATGATCTTCCACAAAATAATGTTCATAAAATTGTACATTATTTGACAACTTCAATTTTCTGATGAATCATTCAGTTCAGTGTTGATTATTAAATATAAGTAGGCCTAGATCTAGATCTAGACCTAGACTAGATCTAGTATAGTAGACTCTAATACCAATTTCAGATAACAGAGATAATTGTTCAAAATTACACCAGTCCCACGTACTGTATTACTATCTGGGTACACACCTACAAGTATGTGGTCCAATGTATTGGACCCACAGAACTCTTAAATACGTATTAAAGAGTTCTGTGATTGGACCCCATACAACCCATGATCCATAGAAAATGGAGGGTATTGTGTTATGTATGTATTGTAGCAGGTTTTGGCCTTTGGGTTTTGTAAAATCTTGAACAAAATATTTTTAAATATTCATTTGTGATCTAAAATTCATGGAAACAGTACAATTTGAATTTGATATCTAGACCTATATCAATCAAATATTAGTTTGGATTAGTAACACATGCATTAAAAGAGCAAATTTGAGGCAAAGTTTAATAGACCAATTGAATTGAAGCGTATTCATTAACCATTGCTGAGGCATATAGAACTAGTCTACATGTTGCTCATGTGTTATGGATATGGGAACAAGTCTACAGCAAGTACCTGTTGATCATGTTCTAAACTTCTAATCTCAATAAGATGTGAACGTACCTTCTAGTATCTTTAACACTGACGGACATCCCCACCTTTGAACGATTTTGGTGAGAGGGTCTATGAACCCATCTTCACTTGAACTATCTCCGCAGCAGTTGTCGAGCTCCATTTTTAGACCCTCAGGCTCTAGCATGCAAGACTCCGATATGATGCGTATATACGTACGTACGTACGTACAGTACAGGCTGCTAGTTACGTTGGTGCATCATATAGCTCGAGCTCCCGGGCCGGGACGGCCGCGCCGGCTATACCGAGTAAATAGAAATAGTACTGCGCATGGCATGCTGATCGCGAGCGACCAGGCCATGTGCGCGCTACCCCAAGACCAATACCAGGCAAACTTTACCCAAGTCTGGTTAAACGTAAGTCTAGTCCCCATCGAAGGTTTCCACTGCCATTTACGCATGCGCGTAATTGACGATGATAGCGTGTACGTTCCATGATCATTACTTACGTAGATTATGTAACTCTATAGGCCTACATGGTTAAGATGGCTCAGTTTTCACAAAAGATAAATCTTGGACTCTTTCAGCATCAAACTCGCACAAATTCATCGTCGCTTCAACACTCTGTTATTATAATTTTAAAATAGTCTAGAAGTAAATGGTTACAATTACAGGAGAGATAATTTCAATTTTTCATAGCAATATTTACACAGCATATTGTGAGCTAAAGAAAATTGAGCTAAATATATTTGGTAAAAGGCGGTGGTCAATTACTACCCTATATAAGCAAACAAAAAAAGGCGCAAAGTGAAATTGGGTAAGTGGTGATGGGTAATTATTACTCAGCATATGAGCAAACACAAATATGGGCAAAATAAATTGGGTAAGGGGCGGTGGTCAAATAGTACTCAATGTATGAGCAAACAAAAATTGAGCAAAGTAAAATTCGGTAAGTGGTGATGGGTAATTATTACTCAGCATATGAGCAAACACAAATATGGGCAAAATAAATTGGGTAAGGGGCGGTGGTCAATTATTACCCAATTATGAGCAAACAAAAATTTGAGCAAAGTAAAATCGGGTAAGTGGTGATGGGTAATTATTACTCAGCATATGAGCAAACAAAAATTTGGGCAAAGTAAAATTGGGTAAGAGGCGGTGGTCATTTATTACCCAATATATGAGCAAACAAAAATTTGAGCAAAGTAAAATTGGGTAAGTGGTGATGGGTAAATATTACTCAGCATATGAGCAAACACAAATTTGAGCAAAGTAAAATTGGGTAAGAGGCGGTGGTCAATTATTACCCAATTATGCGCAAACACAATTTGAGCAAAGTAAAATTGGGTAAGTGGTGATGGGTAATTATTACTCAGCATATGAGCAAACAAAAATTTGGGCAAAGTAAAATTGGGTAAGAGGCGGTGGTCATTTATTACCCAATATATGAGCAAACAAAAATTTGAGCAAAGTAAAATCGGGTAAGTGGTGATGGGTAATTATTACTCAGCATAAGAGCAAACACAAATATGGGCAAAGTAAAATTGGGTAAGAGGCGGTGGTCATTTATTACCCAATATATGAGCAAACAAAAATTTGAGCAAAGTAAAATTGGGTAAGTGGTGATGGGTAATTATTACTCAGCATAATTATGAGCAAACAAAAATTTGAGCAAAGTAAAATTGGGTAAGAGGCGGTGGTCAATTATTACCCAATATATGAGCAAACAAAAATTTGAGCAAAGTAAAATTGGATAAGAGGCGGTGGTCATTTATTACCCAATATATGAGCAAACAAAAATTTGAGCAAAGTAAAATTGGGTAAGAGGCGGTGGTCAATTATTACCCAAATATGAGCAAACAAAATTTGAGCAAAGTCAAATTGGGTAAGTGGTGATGAGTAATATTCCTCAGCATCTAACAATTACCCAACTACTTGGTAAATTGCTCTCAACTCCTTGGAACGATGTTGTTGCTAAATGTATAATAATTGGGTAAATATAATGCCCTGAAACAGATTGGGATAAAAATTACCCAACTTTGGAAACGATTTCTCGACCAACCATCAGTTGCCCAACGAAATTTACCCAACTCGCAGTGGGAATGTGCCAAAATTACACAACTACAGGCAAAAATTACTCAATCCTAATTTGCAAAATAATGTTGGTAAATTTCTAGGCGAATTTCTACCCAACCATCAGTTGCCCAACAAAATTTACCCAACTCGCAAAGGAAATGTGGCAAAATTACACAACTACGGGGCAACTGGTTCCCAACCCTCATTTACCAATACTGTTGGTAAATATCCGCCCAATAATTAAGTAAAAATAATTGCCCAATATTGGTTAAAACACTTAAATGCTTAAATGGGTAATAATAGCCCAGAATAACGAAT